AAGTGTAAAAGTGCTGGGGGTGTAACTCAGTGTGGAGGACCTACATTCAGTGGGGATTACCTCAAACAGAGAGATAAGCACGTGAGGTAGTGAATATGTCATTTGTCTCAATTTAGACATTGCACAGTGTGCACGTATTTCAAAATATCATTTTGCAGACAAAATGTACACAATTTCTCTTTGTCAAAGGTAAATAAATCGTTTCAAATGTTGTTTTAATCATATCAAATTGAACAGCTTCAGATTCCAAACAAGGAGTGAGCCCAAGTTTAGAGTGCGGTGGACTGCCTGAGGCAGCCTCTCCCAGCAGGGGAACCTCGCTGTCCTCCAAAGATGAGAGGCTGGGGAGAAAGCAGGGAGGAGGAGTGACCAGAAGGCGGGAGCCCCACTCCCCAGGGACAGAAATGACCCCAGACACTGATACAATCACAGAAACCCTTGATTGCATACTAAGTTACCAACTGATTGGCAGGTTGTTGCTCTTAAAAATGCAACACATCACTGAAGAGCAGATGGCCCTCACCACATAGACAAGTCTATTCCTAAAATGCACCACAGTTGACAAAAGGGTGAAGGAAGTGCTTTAAAAGCAAAGAGCAATGGCTAGATTTGTTACTTTAATAATGTAAAACATTTACATAAGACCTTATTCTTCTTAAAAGAGGAAACATATGGTGATTTCTTCATGGCATATAAAAGGTAAGAAGTATTTATTGTACCCTGCTTATTTGATTGCAGAGTATTTTTTAATCTTATGGGTGAAGAGCCCAGAAAAAATACTTTCTTACAATCAAATTCAATAATAGGCAAATCTTGTGAACTCCAAATATATAGATTATATCTACACATAAATTAGTCTCTGTTTTCATAATAGTAAATGGAATTTGCAATAAGCATGGAATTATTTCCCTATTACTTAACATTTTATTGATAGTATTGAAAATATTAAATCCAAAATGATATTTTCTACTGAATTTTCTGTAGTGTTACCAAGTTTTTATTAAGACGTACACTCTGGCATTAAACTGATGAGTTGGAATTCAGCCAGTTCACATGCCTGCTTCTTCACACTGGGCAAGGTCCGTAATCATACAGTGCAGCCCAATCTCTACTTAAAAGTGAGTCTGTGGCCATTGCCCACTGCATTCAGAATGCAGTAAATGAGGTGACAAAAAGAGAGTCAGTAACATGCTGCTTAGCACTTAATAAGTGTTGAAAAGTTAACAGCAAAAGAAAAATAGTTCCACCAATGAGCGACATCTCTGCTCTCCTCCATAGCTCTGATGGTCCCTAGCGAAGCAGAAAAAATAAATCAGTAAAGGATGCCATCTACTCGATGCAGGAGAAACTGATTACTAAGGAGATATCACCCTAATATGCATAATTTCCACTGGAATTCAGCAGCACCTTTGACCAGTGAGTACTTGAATCCAGCAAAAATTGGAAACAATTTCTGAGATCAGTGCGGATCTTTACTTCTGCCACTGCTCATTAAGAAATATTTATAAACCATTCACCTGTGATGGCATCTGACTAGTTGTTGGAATAGAAAACTGAACGAAAATATATCTTTTTCCCCTCTTGGAAAATGTTCTAGTCTTGTTTCTTCAAAGTAAAAACAATTAAAGGATTCTGTCTTGTCCTTAGAACTGAC